CCAATAGCAGTGCAAAAACAGTGTGAAAAAAAATAAATATATACACAATATAAAAAAAAATATATACAGCATATTTAACATAAATCCAGAAGTAAACCATGAGCAGCTGACAGCTTGTCTCTTTATTGTATCCCCTTGCACTCCTTTTCCAGAGAAATAACAAAAAGCAATGCTTTCAAAACAAAAACACATTTCCCACTTGCCACAGTATTTTAGAGTTTATACATTAAAGTTGCAGCCTATGAAAACAAATGTGATCTTGGGTTGGACAGAATACCTGCACTGTGATCCAGGTACACTCCAACTCTGGAGGACTGAGGACCTGAGACAGGAGTGTTGATGTTGTTGTGAAAAAACTGTTTTTAGCTAATCCCAAAGCCTTACAGTTGTTTCCAAATGCACCTGTTCTGCTAATATGCAACTGCTATTAAAACGTCTCTGCACCTCTCAGTAACAACGTCCAGTCAGGCCCGTGTTGCTCAGGATCTGCCACCTTACTAGAAATCTGTCTGCGTGCCACAGATGAAGTTGAGGTTTCTTTAACAGTGTTACTTTTCTGTTCCCCTCAGATAATAACACATATGTGTGTGCTGTGTTTGGATCCAGTGTGATTTGACATGAATACAGTACCATTTAAGCTCTGGTTGGGCTGTGGAGGTATCTATAAAACATCAACTTCAGTCACTGTCCTTGAGATCCTTGGCCATCCCTCATTCAGAGTCCCATGAAGTTTATCTCTTACCTCTGACACAGCCGTATCCCATCTTCAAAGTACTAAAGAGGACGGGTATTGGAGCTAGGCGAGTGTGTGGATTCATGGAGACAGGAGAGTGAAGGCTTCCGCTGTAGAAAACAGGCGCTATCCGCTGTGAGAGCTGCTCCATCCCGTGTCTTTCCCTCTCAGATCGGCGACCTCCTGCTCTTTGGCCCGACTCACTTCTGCAGGGATCTGATCTGCGTCTTCACATCACAACGTTGTTTCTGAATCATATAAGTTAACTCAGTAAACATCTTCTCATTGTCCTCTTACTGATAAGAGGCTTGAAATGTTGCTCACAGTAAGAAGTCTTACACATCAGACAGGACTTGAGGGCTTTCAGTTTTCTCCCAGTGCAGACATCATGAGTCCAGCTCCTCCACTAAGCTGATATGCTTTTTTTTTTTTTTCACCAGGACAGGCCTCGGTGTGAAGGTCTGCCTACACTGAGGGCAGCTGTGGATTTTTTCTTCTCATCCTCTTCATCCCAGTAGCTTTTAATACAGCTCAATCACTAGCTGTGCCCACAAAGAATAGTCACTGAATCCTTCAGACCTAGACAGATTAAACAGCAAAGCATTTCTGGGTCCAAATTAATTCCTTGATCTGCCATTTGTACGTGAATGTCAGGTTGCTTCATGCAACAAAAAAGAGCCCTCTGTTTCCTTTCTCACGCAGTATGTATTTGGTGTCTACAAGTGGACTTGTCTACTCTTGTACTCTGCTCTCATGTTGTATACACCCAGCCTTTAACTGAAATGGGTGGGAACAAGGAAATGTCTGAACAGAATGGATGTTGGTCTACCTAAAAGACCATAAAGATTAGGCAGTAAGCCCATTAATTAATTACAGTAAGGGCAATTGTAAAGAGGCAGTATGTGCTTAGCATCTGTTTACTTCCTGAAGTTACTGTTTTAACTTTCCAAGTTAAGGAGAAGCAGCCAAATGATCTTTTTTTTCTGTTTGCTTGCTTCTCTTACTGGTCTGAGTTTCCATCAAAACAGCTTATGAACAAAGGCTTCTGGGTATTGAAGTCTTCCAATAGCATATTCAAATGCCAAAACATACATATGTGTACATATACAAGCATGTACACTACGGTTACATTATTCAAGTTTCCATACTACCAGTATGCAAGTTTTTTTCCTTTCTTTCTTTTTGCATGGTGACAAATGAATGAAACCTAGTGGCTGTTTGGAATGCAGGAACAATGCATTAAACATGGACAAATATGGAATGCAGTGGAAGACTGCTGATAGTAGTGTTATGATTCAGTATGAAGTGAATATAGTAAGAAACCCAATTTGAAACCTGGATTCTTCCCCGTGGAGTCACTGGGTTCTGGCTTTGTTTATAGCCAAGAAGCATCATGGGAAAACGTAGAATCAGCACTCTCTGCTCCCACAATGTTTTCTATATTACACACAACATTTAAATATGACATTTAGATGTTTAAAAATGATTACAATCTACAGACATGGACTGTATATAATGGATGTTTGTCAGTGCTGTTTGTGCCTGAGGAACATCTGATTGATTGAAACGTTGCACAACAACAGTGAATTAAATACAATATATAGTGAGAGCAGAGAGCAGTGTGCGGATTCTGCTTTTTGCGATGAAGCCAATTATTGTAACGTTAGCAATAAAAAGAAGCTTAATAGCCATAATGTTTATCAATCAATCATGTCCTTTCATATCTTTATGACAATCAGGCCATATACTCAAGTCCCAAAAGGCCCACGACCCTGCTTACACTGAAATCTCAATAATCATGTGCTTCCTTTTAAAAAACCATTGTTTTCATGCTTAAAGTTTGTGAACATTGTGTGTTTTGTTCATTGACATTTAGCTTTTATCGTGTCAATACCTCAGAAATGTTTTGAAGAAATGAAACTGAAGATGAAATTTGATTTTTTTTTGCTTTCATGATAATAACATTACAGTAACACTAAAATGGCTCTTTTATCTTTTCTTCAAGGCCTCTAATCATTGTAATGCCTTCATTAGATTTGACTTCTGCTCATCGATCACTTAGTTTCCATCTCCTGTTTATTTGTAGCGCACATGTTTGTTTGTGCCTTTCAAGCTGAGTATTCATACCTGTGGTGGTTTTGCATTGTAATCAAAGGCACTGATGACTTTAACCACATTAGCTCTTATGTTAGAGTCTATGGCTTCCCTTCCACCCCACCAACTACCCAGGTATTTGCCTGCTTATTACAAAGAATTTAGCTGTTCCACAAAATGTAATAAGCGGCACTTCCTGTGTGGCAGAGGAATTACAAGCAAACCTCAATTATCTAATTCTCTCTGTCATATCTCCTCCCGCTTATTAAGACGCAAACAAACGCACATACACAAAATAACTCCAATCAGGGTGCTCAACAGTTTGCACAGCAGCCACTTGGGACACAATATCCTCTTGTTTGTTGAGCGTCTCTCTAGTTGCGTCACTAGTGCTAAAAATACAACCCCTCTACTGCCACCCCCCCCTTCAGCTCCCCCTCCTTCTCTCCCTCCCTCCCTCCCTGCCTGCCTGCCCGCCCAGCTCACATTGTGTCTCTCTATTTCAGCGTCTGATCCGCAGGGGGGAGGGGAGGGTGGGAGGAACTCTAATCCAGGGTGTTTTACTGACTTCAGCGGGCAGGAGTGATGTCATTGTGATGTCAATGCCTGTAATTGTAATCGGTCTGCAAAGTTGACGGGTGTCCACTCTGATTCAGAGAGAGCTGAGAAAGAGACGTTCTAGTAAAAGAAGGAGTAAAAGGTAGAGGAGGTTTTTTTTCTTGCTGAGGTGTTTTGCTGCCGTGGTGCTGGATTATTGGAAAGAAGAGATGGCTGTAACTGGGGATGAGACCGAGTCAGGTAGAGCTTCTCTTACACATATTTTTAATGTGTTATGTGCAATAGGTTGCTTCTTCTACTCTTGCTGCCTTGAGTAAGCTTTACACATGTATTGCATATGCTGTCAGATATGTATTCTAATAAGGATTAGAAGTATTTCTAAGGTTACACCTGTTTTTGCAGATATTTTGTTTTCCAACTGCAAGAGCAAACCTTTTATTTATTCAACTGTTTCTCTGATTCTTGCAGAGAAATATTTAAGACATTTAAACGACTTTTAAATGTCTTTAACCTCATGTATTGTGAAATTGAGGAAGGAACATGCCACAGATTGGACAGCTGTCCCACACATTTCAACACAGGAAAAGCACTCTGACAGTTCAGAGTGGTGTTAAAAAAAAAGGGAGAAAACTGTTTTAACAGGTCAAGAAATGTTGGGTTAGTTTGCTAAACTCTGTTCCTGTCAGTCTGTGTCCCGCTGTTACACACACAGACACACACAAAGTCTGCTCTCTGAACCACTCCAGTGGTTGTCAGGCAGAAAGGTGGGGGGGTGGAGGGGGGAGTACGAAGTAAAGGGGCGGGTGGCAGTGGAGGGGGGGTAAGATAGTCGTCGGTTTGACGTCACTCCAGTTTCCTGGAACAGAGGCCAGGCAGGGAAGAGAGAATGCAAAACGGGCGAATGAGACGCACACACTGACGTCAGCACAGCTCGAGTCACTCTGTTATCACAATGAGAGACTGTACGTGTGTGTGTGTGTGTGTGTGCACCTGCTGTGTCTCTTTGAATGAGTGTGTGTTGTGTGTGTGTGTGGACAGAAGAGAGGGGGAGAAGATAGAAACTTCGCAGGAACACAGTGAAAAAGAGAAACTGAAATGGTGCGAGCGAGCAGGCAGAGCAGTAAACAGTTGAGTCATCTTATTGATGACTCAACTTAAACAACACACAAACCACATCCAGAAAGCTGCCTTTTGCTGCTTTTATTTACCAGAATCATTGTTAAATACAATAAACTGTTGGTTTATAGTGGTTCACAATGCGGTAAACACAACATTACCTCACACCAAACACAAGTGAAAACCTACTGAGTGAGACCTACGGCAAGTCTCAGGAGACAAAACATCTAAATTCCTTCTCTTGAGTTGTAATGTATGCGCATGAATTAACAGAACATCGTGTTAATCAGTGTTAACACTTTACCATATGTTTCAGAGATGTCAAACATAACAGTGTTGCTTAATGGATTAAATGTGATGACAATATTAATATGATAGAATGAATTAAGTGCTGTTCCAGAACACAGCTGCGAGTCTGCTGTTAACACTGGAGCTCCTCCCTAACTGGCAAGAGCAGTCACAAAAACTTCAGTTTCTACCGTTACAGTCACTTGACACTAATCCTGTAGTATAAATTACTAACTCGTGTGCACAAATAAAGTAATTCTAGAGCATAAATCACTAATTAGTGCACACAAGTAAACACATAAAATACTCCTTACACCTCTTGTGCTGCGTAAAGATCATGTGGGGGAAGAAATACTTATTTATTTCAATCGATTTTAAAGAGAAGTTGTGGAGTCTGTTTTTTTTGTTTTTGAGCCAGCATCTAGTGGTCATTAGAGGAACTGCAGTGTATGCCATGTCTCAATTCTGACAAGGGTTTTGCTTCTTGCATGTTAATGCATTAAATAAAAATACTTTACACTTTATAATAAGATACTGATGAGTTTACATTTGTCAGACATTTCACATTTTTTCCAAGTCCTTACATGCTGTCCTCTAACAAGCTGTATAAGGTACAAAATAATCAACAATTTGTCACTGTCTGCCTTTGTGTTGTGCACCTGCATAATAACCACTGACAGAGACACAAAAGGAACAGAAAGACAAAACATATTTTTTTCTTTCCAACAAGTCATTTAAGAGCAAATACTGTTCACAAGGACAGTAATGGTCAGAGGAAATTCATCTTTTAAGGCAGGAAGGAGAGCGGATAAGCTCTTTGGCTGAAGTTGCTGTCTACATCCTCTGATGAAATACTTGTTTGCTGTATTTTTAAGAGGAAAATGTGAAGGAACAGACTGTGTGACTGAATAGATAGTTAATAAAATGTAAAAAAAAATCTGAAAGAAATGCCATTGTTTCCTTTCGTGGATAACATTTTTAATCAAAAAGAGAAATGAGGGCAACCAAAAGTTAAGAAAGTTGTGGGACTTGGAGTCCTAATGCTTTTTTTCCATCTTCCCCCATAGCTGCCACAGGAGACATACCCGCCTACCAGCTGCGGTCGCCCAACTCAGGCCTGACCCAGAGCATCGTGATGGCAGCGTCCCCGGGCACCATGCAGAGCCCCTCATCGCAGCACGCGGAAGAGATCACCCGCAAGAGGGAAGTCCGACTGATGAAAAACAGGTAGGAGCTGGTGTCAGTAGCAAGAGATGGTGACGGAGCTGTAGAAGTTTCTGGGCATCATTATTTTGAGATATCTAATCCAATACTGACCCTCAAAGTTCTTAAACATGATGTAAAGGAAATAACCCTGGTTCATTCCTGAAGGGATCAGAGAGAAAGTGAGTGGAGTTACCAGAGTATGTAACTATTTCTGGCGAGTAAATAAGCTCATGTTCATTGCACAATAATTCACAAATGCAGTAGTGTGAGTATTTAGACTGCTTTAAATCTTATTTTCTATCCTGCAGTCACTCTTGAATCTCATTTTGGGGTAAAAAAAAATGAATGTGCTACTGCTAAATCAGCTCAAAAGACGCTATAAAACAACAAGTTGGAGGTTGATGTTCACACTTTTTTTGGTTGCTGCAGTGAGTCAAGTATTGCAGAGATCTGCAGCGTACTACTTTTATAGATGTTCAAATGTTTCTGTGCCCCTTGATTGTTCATGATTCATAGAGTAATCCTGCAGCAGGCAAACGAATGCTTGTCTGGGAAAGTATGGACATAAATGTGGAAGCAGTTTACTCATAAAACCTGAACTTGACAGACTTAAAAACGTCTGCTCCCTTGGATTGTGCATAGCTTGGACTTTGTTTGGAGCCTAAATTAAATTTTCACCAAACATATTTTCCCCTCTCTTTTCCTCTCCAGGGAAGCAGCTCGTGAGTGCCGCAGGAAAAAGAAAGAGTACGTCAAATGTCTGGAAAACCGTGTGGCTGTGTTGGAAAACCAAAACAAGACCCTGATTGAAGAGCTGAAAGCGCTGAAGGACATTTACTGCCACAAAGCCGAGTAGCGGCGGCTGTTTGTGGTCACAAGCTGAAGTCGGTGCCGTTTACAAACTGCTACAGCAAAACAAAAAAAAGAAAAGACTCTGGAACAAAGACTGCTTCAACCGTCTTTGTTTCTCTGCTCACTCAGGCCTGGTTTACGCCGAACTCAGATGTGTCCCGGGGAATTCGAACAGCTTGAGCTTGCCAGTTTCGCTCTTGTTCTTATCTTGTGCTCTTTGCATGTGAAGACTCAAGTGTCGTACACACTATGCTTGCTGTTGCTTTTGTGCCAGCCAATGAGAGCAAGCTGAAGAAGAGGAACAGGAAGCGGAAATACAGGTGCTTCCTGAAAATGTACCGCTCAAGTAGAGATTACGGAAAAGAAAAAAAAAAGTCCTTGGCGGGGCAGCCAGGTCTCGCTACCAGCAAGTTTCTATGAGGTCAGACGAGGTGCACACAGAGCTACGCAGATCCACCACCAGCTGCAACGACGCAACCCAACCGTGTTTACCTGATAATGTCATCTGTGTCATTCACGCTGCCGTTTTTTGGTCGGTCCATGCATTCCTTCAGGTGAAAAACACAATTAAGGAGAAATATCTTGTCAGTGAAGTGATTTCCTGAATCTCATCAACTTTGCAATTTGTATAAAAGTTCTTGATTTGGTCTAAATGGTTTCTCTAGAGTGAACTAGAAGAATTTAAGATGTAAATTATCTTATGTTTGGTAGTTAATGCACAGAGCTTCAAATATATATTTCATATATAATATAGAGGGGGCATGATGTGAATCGGAACTTGGTTAAAAAAGTCCAAAAGAGCCTTTATTTTTCTTCACTACAGTGAGTTGATTGTAATATTTGAAACGACAGAGCCCAAGTGCTCTTACGTCAAAGCACAGAAAGTACCAAAGTGTCAGTGTGGATATCATCAGAGTTTATATTCTATTACATTTATTTGCAGAATTTCACTTCACAAGTTTATATACATTCTACAAAGCAAATGTAACCAATTGATTACTTGTTCAAAAAATGCAGCTGTTTACTCTGTCCTGAAAAACCTACAGTTTTGTAATGCAACATCTTAAGATGACTCGTAGCTCAAAGAATAACTGTTGTGCTTTACTGTCATGCAAGCGTCAGTTTTGTTTTTCCAATGATGGTTATCCATTGTGGTATAAAACTGTATTTGATTATGGCTAGATATTAAAATGCTCTGTTTAAAGGGTGATGCCAATTTCTTTTCTCTTTTCTTTTGTTTTTTTTAATGTAATGAAAATTTGATTTTAATGCTAATATATGATCTTGTGTTAATGTGTCTGGTGATTTTGAAAAACTGCTTGCTTTTCTGTTTGTGTAGTTGTTGCGTTTGTTCCACTGAATTATATTTTAATGTTAGGAGAAAATGTTAGAAAGAGCACTTGTTAATGTAACAGCCCACCTCCTATGACTGCCAACGCTCTTTCAGTAACAGTTGGGTATTAAACTGCTGTTTAGCTCAGTGACAATGAATGAATTATCCTGTGGCAGTCTTGTTGTGTACCAACCAAATGACCCGTAATGGTTTGTATCCACAGAGGAATGCTTCTGTTCATTTCTATGAAAAGGCAGGTGATGATAAACTTCAGGTTATCTTTGATATCAACTGAGCTGAATTTCTCTGCACGTAGGTTATTGCCAATTCAAATGGCTCCATCTTTTACCAGGTGTTCTCTTCTCAGTGTACTTCCTTGTTTGAATTGTAAAACCAAAACTATTTTTGTTTATCTAATAAAACATTCAAATGTGATATGGTTTGTGAGTTATTGCTCACACAATTCTCACAGAACTTCCTCCTCTTTAGGATTCTAGCCAGCTTGTAGGTACAGCTAAATGTTACAGGTAACAGCAGGTACTTAAAGACTGTAACTATCTCAGATAGCTTGAGGGGAATGAACATGAAGAAAAAGGACATAGGTCTTTGATAAAACAGATACATTAATTAATGGGCCACCTGATCATGTTCCTGGCCTCTGTTTTAGTAAAATAAAATATATTTAGTAAAGTAAAAATATCTCAGATTGCCCTCTGTATCAACATGAAGTTTTTTAAAGGTCAGTGACAAAGGACAGTTCTATGAGCACGAAACTGCTGATATTTAATCCTCTCCTTTGTTAAAGTGTGGCTACTTTGTATTTTATTTGTATTCATGCAAAAGACATAGTAGCTCAATGTGGTGTGAGGGGTGGTTTGTCCGTAACTTGTTTGTCAGGCATGTTGTTTCTTCGAGTCCCTAAAGGTCACAGATTATGTAACGTCCAAGTAAAAAGACATGCTAACCTTGGGTTTTCTTTTACTCTGCCAACAATACTAGCTCCCTTGTGGTAAGTAATACATGTCTTTGTCTGCTTCATATCTCACTGAATAATAGTTTTCAGGTTACAAGTTCCTACGATGTGTTTATAAGCACCCAGAACATCAGTTTTGCAAGTATTTTACAAATAAAAATGATTTTGGTCAAACAAATAAAAATGTTTTAAAAAGCAACAAAACAAGTGAAAATGAACTGAAACTGGAAGGTTGTTTTTAAGCGTACTAAGATTTTAAGAACCAGTAAAATTATATTAGTCTTTAAAAGGGGGATGAACATGAAAATGAGTTTCCATAGCAACCCCTGATGGTATGGCATTGACCCTGAAGTGGCTGATAAGCAGTACATTATTCAATGTGCTTTTCATGTGTTTCTCCCTCTCATACATGCACATAAACCCTCTTTAATAAGACTTATCATGCTGTCACACACATACACACACATTTCTCTCTCAAAATGACAACACACCCATAGAAACAGGAATTTGGCTTCTCTCTATCTCTTACAGACACTCACTGCATAAACACATACATCTCTCTCTCTCCTTTCTGCACACACACACACGCAGTGGTGAATAGTTAGTTGAAAGGGAGAGAAATGCCTCTGAGCGAAACCTTGAAACTGCCATTAATGAACAGAAATCCTTGCCCCCCCCGCCCCACTAAACACTTACCTCTTTTACATTATGGTTCTTTTGAAATGTTACATACATTTCTAGCTTCAACCAACATTTGAAATGGTTTAATTCAATATTTTGTGCATTGTTCGACTTGTAGGTGTGAGTGAAGTACCAGTCGGTTGCGATCATTTCACTCTGTGTTATGGATTAGTCAGTATGAAGACAATTGCGGTTCAAGGGTGCACAATTTATTTTTCAAAACGTATGTATCCAACCTCTAAATCCACTGCATTCAACTTTCTCTTCCTGCTGCTTAAGCTAAAACCAGAACTGAAAAGTTGCAGTGTGGGAGGCTCTTTAATATTTCATTTTGTTGCTTTTCAAACATCTTCATGTCCTTTGGTCCAGTGTGGCTGGAGTGGAAATTTCCACCTAGAGACTATCCGCCTACAAGCTGTGGGATGAAGCCTACTACCTTGACAGCATCAACTGTGCTCCACTGGGGCAGTCTAGGAGGACCTCTGCTGTCCAACATAGGCTACTGCAACAGGCAGTTGCGTTTATGTAAAGAAACTAAACAATAACTTACATGTATTTTTAACTTTGTATTGACAAAAAAACTCATATTTACTTCATAGTTTCATTTGTTATCTCAGTAGCAGCAGTTTTGGTTGCTCTTCATGCACAATAATAGGCTGAACACCTCAAGCAGACAACTTTCAAAGCTGAAAGTTTTGCTAAAAGACGTGATGATGTCTCACTTCAACATGCAGAAATCACATAACCACTATGAATAAGGCCTTGCTAAGGCCTCACAATGTTCCAAACCCCCTTTCCACTGGCTGAATCGATGGGTTGCATCCAACAACAATGCACCTTGATATTCACTCTTACTTTATTTTTGATTTGCCAGGTGTGCCCAGATGTAAAATTAAAGCAGGGTTTGAACTTTTCTCTCAAGCTCTCCTACTTCTTTTGTGTGCACAACCAAGTGCAACACCATAACCACCTCACAAGAGAGGCTGTCTAAAAGTGTACACCATGATGCCAGTTTGCACGATTCATTGGGACTAGACAGACATGCAAATCTCACAGAATTCAGGAAAGCTATGATTACACCCCACCTTCAACTGTGGCACTTTGGAAGTACAGTATACACACTGTTGCCCTCATAGGATGACACATTGTATGTTGAACTACATCATACAACCCAGTTTTTCGGAGACACATTGAACCACTTTGGAGTGCTGATATACTTGCTCACAAGTGTGCATGTGCATGGCTATAATGGCTACCCCTTGGTTGTATGCATCCTCATATTCACTGTGCATCTACGAGATGCAGCTAAGCCAAGTATGGTGGGAGCAGTATTTTAGGAAGAAGAAGAGGAGAAGTGAGGTCGGTTTTAAGAGAAACTTAACCATGTTTAGTTATAGACGTTCTAAAACAAGATACTATGCTGTTAGCAATGGATGGCTGGTCTGGTCTTCCACCTGGTGGTATTCTTTGTAATCCTGCAGGTGCACAAGATTCATGCTTCATGTATGCGTTAGTAAAAAGATCACACATGCACTGGGGACATGTCACACTAGGTTTTTATTATAGGACCTGCCTGTTAATATATGCAACAGTATTTTAAAGGAGGGCCATAACAGTTTAATTGTTCAATTTATGTAATGCAACCTTTACTGAGTGACTGAACATCAATAATAACAGACACAAGTTCATATTATATTCAATCACTGGCATTTATACATTAAATAAATCCACACAAATGCATGGGTTGACCAGCAGATGTCACCATTTTAACATTGTGCTATTTTCAGCACTGACAAGTCAGTGTGTGGCCCAGTGCTTCAGAGAGACATTCAACGGAAATGTAATGCAAACAATAGGATTTTCTTGAAGGCTTTAACTCAAATACAGTTTATGATGGGATTCTCTTGTGGGAGCACTTTTTTTATACTCTGACCCCAAAAGTCTGACCTCTTACTATTACCTTAATCTGTTTGTCTATTGCAGCTTTGGACCACCATAATACAACTGTCTAGTCGAGCTAGGTGGCAGCCAGATAATCAAAATCCAAAATAGGGAAATCCACTTTAATATTATATTTTATTTTTTAAAACCACAATTTATAACTTAATGACAAAAAAAACATGTGACTGTCATTTATTTATTTATTGTTTGGGGTTATTGTCCTTTGATCCCACTCTGAGTCAAAATTGACCAATGAAATTTATTGCACCTCTACAGCATCTCTTGAAACACTTTCTGAAACAGTGTCACACCTTTTTGACCACCTTTCACAGTACATTATGTATAAAACCCTGGCTCTAACCATAACACTGAGTCTCATAGAGGCCCTGAGGATAGCAGTACTCTTTAATATCTTCATGTTGGATTTTTATTTTCTTTCTATGAGGCCATTTGAGTCCCTAAATGAGCACATACACAGGTAAACACCATAGCTTTTTCACTTAGTTGACATTGCAAAAAAATATATGATGCCACACATATATGTACCCATCTACAGAACACAGAGAGTATATCTCTCAATACCTTATAGGCTATTATTATCATTAAAAAACAAAAGTACATCTAATTATTTCGGCAGTAAATCATAAAAGCAGCTCCTCCTCTATCCTCTCTGCTCTCTCTTTTGTAACCACCCACTTGAACCGGAACCTTTTCTCGGGATTTGCAGCCCTCCCTATCGGTCTATCGCCCTGACAGCCAGCCACAACACCGACCCACACGCCTCTGTGCGCCCATCGCCGCCCATCTCTGCCCGGAGCGGGATGCGTTCACTTTCACGACGCCTGGCCTAGCTATGGCAGGTCGGCCCGTTACATACAGATGGAAGTGACACATCCATCCTCTGTGACAGCCTCTCCGTGGACACCGACGACTGACAGGATCCAGGGGCGCTGCGGTACGGATGCACCCTATGCGCTCTGGTGAGCTACGGTGACCGGCGCGCCTCGGTGGAGCGGGAGACCCGTCGTTTCAAGCCTCTGTTTCGGCGGAAAGGACCGTCCACACCCTCCCCCCCCTTCCCCCGGGGGTCGATAAAGGGGAACGATGGGGAGCACGACCTCTTGCTGCGTGTCTGCCAGCCCCAAGCTCCGCAGAAATGCCCACTCCAGGCTGGAGTCGTACCACCAGGAGTCGGAGCTGAGCAGGGAGGAGACGGGATGCAACCTGCAGCACATCAGCGACAGGGAGAACGTCGACGGTAAAAATGATCAGCTTCACCATGACATGTGATCAAAGTGATAAAGTTCTATGGTCATCCCGCCATTGATTTTGGGATGGCGTGCAGTTTATAGGAGCAATACAATAGAAAAAGTAAATGGCGTAGTATACTTTTTCAATAGAAGATGAATAATCCAACCAAAGAATATCATAAAACACAATAACTATATCATGAGCTACACAGAGAGAGAGAGAGAGAGAGGCCCCTGCAAGTCAAATTGTAGACAAAAGGAAACACAGGGAATGTTATAAGAATGCTTGTGATGCTGTGTGGTTTCTAAATATCAAATAATGTAACTAATAGAATGAAATACAACATCGAAATTGTCTTTAACTCACCAAAAGATAAAGCTAATAAAATCCAGAGGAAAAATAATTTGAGCATTATCATAAGAGCACCATCAAACAATGAAAACAGCAAAAAAAAAAAAGGTCAACTCAATACTGAATACCAGATACACTGTTAGGTCTTATATGGGAATATTAACTAATTATAGTCAGCATATTAGAGCCTGGTGTCAAATATACAAGGGGCAGAAAATTCCAAATAGGGTCACTATAGCCTTCAAAATAATTTATTACAGTCATATTTTAATCTCGGATGATCACTTTTGACCTCTTCTGTGATCTCAATAAAATCTGCACCTTTCTCATATCCTGGAGAAATGGCTGCTGCCTGCGTTCACACTCATTTCCCTACAATATTGGCAGAACTGTATTGTACCAGCCATCAGCACAGCCAGGCACATGGAAGAGTCATGTGTGCATTTTCACTCCCATGTGTCCTTGCAGAGAGATATGGAGCTGCATACAACATCCTGTTCATGAGGGCAGACTCCTTTGTGCCGGTCTTTGTTTTCAGCCTGTGCATGAAAGAAACTGCAACTATGGAAGGCAGCCCCCTCCATTGACACATGCTAATATGCATTACAATTGACCCATTCACACTGAAAAGTGTCTACTAAATGGGTTGCCTATTTTCAGCCAGCAGCCAACCATTACACATAAATGGATTTTCTCAGAAACTGTATAAGACACTTTTCCAGAAATACAGGCTCTTTCACAGGCCAGCATGGTTTAGAATTTGTTTTTGAATAATACACCATCAGAAAGTTTACCTATATCAGGCCAATAATTATTGGACACTGTATTTTGTAACTGAATCAACATATACACTCACTCACGTCTTAGATCTTCTATCCACTTTTCTAAAGGTCTTCAGATCAGTGGGTTGCCACGTCAGTCTTAAGAGGAGCTGGTATATAAATAAAGCTGCACTGTGGATAGACTTCTCTTGGGTAAAGAGAAATGTAAAATAATCTATTTATTCGGCTGTAGTTGCAGTATGATAGTATTGATTAAAAAATGAAAATAATCAACTGCTTTTCTGTAACCTTCCACATTCAAACTATATTCGTTGTAGTTATTTACTCTTTTAAGGATTCAGCATGTTTGAAACAGAGTAGGGTGTACAACGCCTTGTCTGACATCTGAAGGTGAAAGTGTTTGTACCCGTTCCAGAGTGAAAAGCCTGCGGTCATTACGTCCTCCTCCTGCCTCCCACGGCCTCCCTGATCTCTTTTCAAAGACTTGGTACCAATAGAAGTTGGGAATTGAAGCAATTTGAACATGAACAGTGTTTCCTTGAAGGCATTTGTGCTGTTGCTCTTGTTCTACACAAGGCAATCGACTGAAGTAGATGTTTGAAGAATGGAAAAAAGAGAGCTTGAGGGGGAAGTTTAAACCCCTAAACAGCTGTCAAACCGCTGTGGGTGTGATTGTTGGACTGTCTCACACTTTGTTAGGTGTAAAAACAAAATCTGGACTGCAGTTAGGAAATAATCGCAAAACTTAAGGGTTTCATGGGTCTAGATGGCACTTTGGAACAAAACTAGAGATGTTCCTATAGCCTTTATTAGTAAAAAAAAAGAAGAGGTGAATGCTGGACACGGTCTTTGCTGTCCTTTTGTGCCAGTTACACATGAATAAAGACTGTTGGTGCACTTTGGTGTAGCAATACTTTGTGTTCGCCAAACTGAGAGGATTCCTTAAATTGCACTGTCAGCATGGTGGAAGACATGCTTTTTATTGACCAGTGATGTAATTTCCTCATGTAAACTTGAGGAGTGTATGCCATTTGTGATTGCTATTATCCGGAGTGCTTTGTATTACCGCGGGGGTTTATATTGTTATTATAGCTCCAGTATCTCTGGCAGTCATATCATTGTCAACATAACATAGCGAAGTGGAAATGTTTAGAGTTTTTTATGTTTTGGATCATTACCTTAATAGGATGCATATATTGCCTGAGTGCGGAGCCAGATGCTCTCCTAACAGAGCAGAAAGAGTCACATGAAGAAGGTTCAAAGACTAATGAATGACAGTCGTCCAGTGCTTCTTCACAAGGATAAAGACGACTTGTGCTGAGACGCCGTCTGTCTCAGTGGTGTGGTGATTGAAACCGGAGCGTGTCTAATGTGTTGGCTCTATTATGAGTTCACAGACAGTATGATGGAGATTAGCGGGCTTCATTACGATCTGCAACCATCAGAAAAAAAAACCTCTTCACCCCCCAATGAAAAGCCCAGAGAGGCAGCTGTGAGCCCGTGTCAGAGCAGATAGGAGAAGCCACCAGGGACGGATGATTGCCAAGAATCAACGCCTCAATACAGAGTGTGACGTGCTGCGTTCAAAGACATCATCTGTTCCTAATTGAATGGGCTGTCTATTGTGCATTAAGAAGTTAGTGAGACTTAAGTTAAATTGTAACTATGATGCAGTACAAGTAGATTTTGAACCCATTTGAATTTTGCAGATACCTGGAATGTGTCCCCCACATTCAACCCATTTAGTGGCAGCCAGTTTTGCCCACAGAGAGATCGACCAGTGCCATGGCCAAATCTGAACACACATTGGGGATATCCTTCAATTAATTAACTAGTTGTTAAGTTTATAAAATGTCATTAAATAGGGCCAAATGCCTGAGCCACAAGAAAATTCTTCACATTGCTTGCCTAAACTTGATATTGAATTTACCGTGACACAAAACCTGGAACCAGCACATATTTGGTATGTTTGCTTGATAAATGACTGAAACGATTAATTGATTATGAAAACTGTTGTTATGTAATCAGGATACAGAAAAGGTAATCCATTACATTTACAGAAACAAAGATGTAATCAGATTACAGTTACATTTAGTAAAAATTATTACTTAGCAGGATTACGATTTTAAAATACATACTTTCTTTAAAAATACTCTGAGCAGAGGACACATTGCTGATGCTAATAATCTCCCCATTTCCATTTTATTTTCTAAAGTCACATTGTTCTGTTGTCTTATAGACTTAAAGTAACCCTCCAACCCTGCTGACACTGACACCAAACTGAAAGCACTTGTTATGTTTAATGTTGAATAAACAATAATGACTGAATTTGTCATATTTTGCCTATCATAATAATTATCATGCTCACAAAATGCACCTAGAATGAACACGAACAACACTAAGTCACAGTTTGCCTGCAGGGATGTGAAAAACAAGGAGAAAATGACAGGAAATACAAAAAGGTGTGCTGATGCTAAAAGGTTGTGTGAGGATGTACAGTTCTCAAAGTACTGCCTTAGGTTTGATCAGAGTCTTACAAACTGCTTAGTAGGGAATTATTATATCTTGTTTGGACAAGCTGTCACACATAAAAAAGGATTAGAGGGCTCAAGGAGTCATGGGAAACCTGGAAAGACTGTAGAATTTGAACTATATTAACCAAAGCTTGGCTGCTGGCAGAAGTTGATTCATCGAGATAAACATCGAATGGCTTCAGTCAGTAAACTGTGTGCGGAACTGCAGTCGTCGTACTGTAACTTGACAGATGTTTTCCTGTCATGTTTGACAGCAGACAGTTGTGTCTCTCTCAGTGTGGGCTATTATGTCACTTATGGGGGATTTTAGTCTTGGAGTCCTAAAATGATCAGATTTTACGAACAGATAATCGCTTCACTACATAACACCATCATTTCACTGACCCAGGGCCTTGAAGCCTATCCCGAGCTAAACCGCTGGATAGAGTTTCAGAAAAGAGCTTAGTCTGGGAGAATGAAGGTTTTTGCTGTTCCGCACGGCTCTCATATTTTCATTGAGAGGTGCAGTTTTTTTTTGGAGAGAGATTTTGTCAGCATGTGTAATCGTCCTTTGGAGCTATTGGACGTTAAGTGCCTGGGTGAAGATCTTATAGAGATAAGCATTCTGTTTTATTAGATATTAATGTCTCTGCAACAAATCTTGGGGCTGTGTTAAAAATATGACATATAGACAAAGTGCTCTCTATTGGAGTGCATTCACAGGAATTCAGAAAGTCAAAAAATGCCAGTTTCCTTTGCAATCAGTTTATTCAAAGATAAAATCTGAGATCCAAATGTTAAACTAAATAGTAGGTACCGCCACCAAAATTCAAAACTGTGCAAGGACTCAAACTATTTATTTACATTAGCTAACATTAGCCATTGTAAGCTACTAGTCAAGACCAAGTACGGCTGTATGCATAACCCTGAGTGTTCAGCAGGGGTGGGTTTTATTATTTATGAATTTTATTTTATTTTGTAAGATGACAAATTTCTTATTTCTTATTTCAAAAGTTACATCGTCCCTTTAAGGTACACAACAATGTATAAAATACAATACATTGTTATCTTTACTTTCATTCGCTGTATATGGTCTATTATATGTGGTATTGATTTATTTAGCATTTTACAACACAGGGTTGTATAAAGGAGATACAGAGAAAAACATTCCCACAACTTTCTAGTTTCAAACTGTGCACATACATCATAGCAAAACAAGGCAACATCCACCAACTCTCAATTCAGTCCAAATTGCTGAGTAACTCTCACAACACAAGGTTCACAAAACCAGCCCTCCACACACTGTACCTAAATATAAAAGCATCAGCTGATGCGTGCTGCCTCACAGAAACTACAGTCAT